AAGAAAATAAATTATTACTTTATAACATTACTTGACATTTTTCTTTTTTCCGGTTTGACTTTAGAAATCTAGTTCTTATGCGCCCCTGTGCTTTGAATATGAAGACGTATGACTATGATATTTGATATAGGAAGTGAGAATATTGTCACGACTGTATACGGGTAAACAATTACGTATTTTCATATCTCTTGAACTTTTCATCGCACTCATTAATATTTTGTCAATCAAAGTCTAATGATGCATGAATAATGTGCGACATACATGTATATATGGAGCCGAAAATACATGCAAACTACCATTATTCCGGACGAAAATTCGATTAATAGGATGAAGCCTGCTGTTTTTACCGTATGGATTGCTGCTATTATTGTTGGAAACGTATGCTCAGCACCAACAGCAGAGGTAAATAGAATATGAATTTGAAATTGTATTTGAAATATAATACATGAGATTTAGATTTTCACCAAAGAACCGCCAGGCAGAAAGGAAAACCTAGAACGATTACGTAAGTTACTCTTAGAATAATTTTTTTTCTAATTTATTTTACTTTATCTTTCAACGAATATACCTAAAGGAGATACAAATTCTTCGGCACGCAGAGCGGTAAGTTGATGGTGATTCCATTTCGGTAATATTCTATACTTTTATCAATGAATTTAGCGAGGTTTGGTATTAAGGGGCAAGGATGTGCGTCGGCTTAATGGAATCGTTCCTTATCAATTTGAATCAGGATATAGTATGTATCATCCAGAATCTCGTTGTCTTCATCATTATATGACTAACTCCAATAACAAGAATGAGAGTTTTGTTTTGCTAAAACTTTCATCGAATAAAAGTATTTATCTTATAGCCTCTGATCAGCAAGCAGCCATTCTAACTCGGATGCGCAAATTAGAAAATTTAGTTGCCATCAACAATGTTCGATGTGTACAGTTTAGACCAAAAGTCCCGGAAGATTCGTATTACATCAAAATACAAAATGATGCAGGTTGTTTCTCAACGGTATGTGAAATGGATCATTCCAATATGCTTTCTATTACTTTTATCTTATTTTTTAGCTTGGACAAACCGTAGGGACTCTGATATTACAACCTACAGGTTGTTTTGACGATGGACGAACTTTTCATGAATTGATGCATACATTAGGTAGATTTTAAATGAAAGAATGAAAATGTAAATCTACTAGATATTTTAAATAGGTTTTTTTCACGAGCAACAACGGAGCGATCGTGATTCTTATGTTAGAGTATATTGGCAGAATATAAATACAGGTAATATTACTTGCTTTTTATAAGAAATTTCAAGTGGTAACACTAAATGAATTGATCTTTTGGTATTTTTTAGTAGCAGAGTCTAATTTTGTGATAGGTGGAGATTCAGTTACTGATATGTTGAATACTTCATACGATTACTCCTCAATTTTGCACTACGGGAAATACGATTTTTCGAAGAATGGGTTGCCAACAATGGAAGCAATTCAATCAAATATTAAAATTGGGCAACGCTATAATTTAAGCCGTGGCGACATTGAACTAATTCGTCGGTTCTTTAATTGTTCATCCACTGGACCTATATTACCACCATTCACAGTACCAATCGAACCAGGTAAAACATCTTTACATGTATGCATACATATATACATACACCCATAGATTTTTTTGGAGAACTATAGAAAATTGTATGAGTTTCATAAATGATTTTATTTGAGTCATATCAGTCACTAGAACAAACGATTGTTAATCTATGAATAATACTAACTTGAGCATCTTCTCTTTTTATTATATAGCATTCGCAGGTATGCTAACGTCGACTTATTCAAGCGAATTGACAAACAAAAATTTAATGTTTACTCGTAATGGTAGTTGCTCGGGCAACTTCTACTATGAAGTTATTAACATAACAGTTCCAGCAGCTGGTCAATATATTTTCCAATGCAAAAGTAATATTGATACGTTTGCTTATATTTATAACCAGACGTTTAATCCATTGAATCCGGCTGCGAATTTACTCAACGCATTTGATGATGAAAATTATGAAAGATGGGAATTTAGCATAATGATGAATTTTCCTGGCCCAGAAACAATTCTTTTGGTTCTCACTACATACAATCCCAATGTAACAGGACCATTCCTTATTGTTGGCAGTAGTTACAATAAAGTAATTTTTAATCGTATGGTTAGTACTGTTCAACCAACAACTAGCACTTCTACTACCTCCAAGACGACAACAACAACCGACAGTAAGTAAACCATATAACTCTGTCAGAAGCTGCACACGTATATATCAAGTGCTCGATGAGATTTAGAATTTGACATTGTCTTTGATATAACCAATAGATTTTTTTATTTTTCTCCTGAGAAAATAGGCGTTAAATATATTTAATCTGTGTATTCAATATTGGTCGCTGGTCAACAACAGGCTCACTTGCAATAGGTCGTATTGCACATACATCAACTCTTCTTTCCGATGGACGTGCCATCACTACTGGAGGTAACGAGGGTGGTAGTTTAGTGGAACTTTACAGTCCAACAACACGAACATGGAGTCGAGATGCATCAATGATCAGTGCTCGATCAATGCATACTGCTACCCTCTTACCAGATGGTCGTTTATTTGTAACGGGTGGTTGGTATTATAATACCGCTAGCAAAACTGCTGAAATTTATAATCCCGCCAGTAATACTTGGACAGCTATTAGTAATATGAATTTTGGTCGATGTGGACATGCAGCAGTCCACTTACCAGCACCAATGAATAAAATTTTAGTCATGGGTGGATATGGAGATAGCATCGCGCCTTTGTCTTTGCAATCATGTGAATTATATGACTTTGTTTCGAATAAGTGGACAAGCACCACTTCAATGCTTAGTAAACGAGTCTATTTTACAGCAACATACTTACTATCCATGAATGTAGTCGTAGCTATAGGAGATGGTTTTCCAGGTGGCTCAGCAGAAATATTTAATGTATCAACATTACAATGGACTCGAAGTTTGAATACAATGCCAGACTATAGAACGTCACACACAGCTACATTACTTCCCAATGGACAAATTTTAATTGCTGGTAGTGGTAACAGTATCAGTGCAACCTATTTATATAATCCAACAACAAATTCATTTACATTTGCAGCAAATACTATCCAAGCACGAATTGAACCTAGTGCAGCTTTATTACCGTCAGGTTTAGTTTTTCTAAGTGGTGGAATGATGAGTGACGGTTCAATGTATCGTTCGACTGAAGTTTATGATCATCGACTCAATACATGGCGTTCTGTAGCGAACATGAATACTAGCCGTTTTCGGCACAAATCAATTTTAATTGATTCCTCTTCATCATCACCAACAGTACTTGTTATAGGAGGACAGAAAGACTGGAGTACATCCCCTCAACTAATTGTGAACTGTTCTCGTTCAATGGTTGAGAATGAAGTTTTTATCAACTATAAACATTTTCTTTTGTCTTCTCTTTCTTTTATATTCAAATATTCCATTTATTCATGATGAACTGTGTCTTTTTTCACAAACAAACGATTTAAAACTAAGATTCAGTTTCAGAGTTTTCTTCTTGTTTTACTACATTTGCAGAAGTGTGCTCATACCTAACTAGTGATCTGCAGGGTAGGACATTTTTATGACCTGTAACCTGCCCTGCGAAGAATTCGGTAACCTATAGCCTTCCCTGACCTGTGAATTTTTTATTCCAACCTGTTCTGTCCTGCCCTGCCCTTTTATAGAAAACGAAAAAAGATTGAGATTTTTGTATGAGTTTTACATGCCATTTCATTACATTTATTTTGATCATAAAGCAGAAAAAAAAATTTCGAAAATTTCAAATCATCAAAATATCATCTACAATATCAGGATCTAATGATTGTCTTCTTTTTTCTAAAATCCGACCTGATGCACTAAAAACACGTTCAGATGTAGCAGAACTTCTCAAACCTATATTGACGGCGCGTCAAACCGCAGTAAACCCATAATTAGTCATGTACCAAACTCAAACTCGAGTTCGAGTTATGATATCGGATTTCAGTCTATCGAGCTCAGTTTGAAATTGATACTCAAAGCTCGAATTGAGTTTGAACTCGAACTTGAAAACTGGAACTCGAACTCTAGTATTCGACATCGAGCTCAATCGAGTATCAAACCCGAACCTCGAGTGGAATTCGAGCTCAATCCTATCGAGTTCGAACAGTTTGGGTTTGGTGCATGTCTAAATAATAGAAGTGAAGAGATAGATGAAGGCAAACTCCGTCACAAAAGAAAGTGCGTTTCCGTAGAAATAGATGTGAATATTCAGTCAGAAAAGAATACAGTACACCGTTCGTCTCGCGACACTTACTAAACCTAAAATCGTTCCATAATTTCCAGATATGACATCGAGAGAGAAACAGTTTTTACTGGTGGGCATATTAAATTTTCTTTCAGAAACAGGTGAGCGAATCCATAGGATGAGCGCTATCTTGTTCTTCATTCTCAAAATCGATCCATATTCTTGTTCTTGAAATGTATTTCATCGATCTCTTTTTGTCAGTCATTTTTCTGTCTCTTTATCGTTCATAGAGATGATTAGGTTTTCACAAATAATATTTGTGATGAGAAGAAAAAGATCCTTTTGTCTGAACGATTCAAATCAGTCGAATTCCAAAGAGGAGTTAGAAGGGTGTGGGTGTGGGTGTGAGTTCCCTATTCATTCACATCCTCACCTCACCCACACCCTCACGAAGGAGAGGGTGACGCACACACACGCGCGCAAACAGATCGAGTTCAGACATTTTCTCAACAACCGGGCATTTGGTTGCTTCTCCGATATTCATGTGCCGTTTTGATGTAAGCAACATTCTCTTCATATTGATTTTCTCATTGACTTTTTTAAGCCCTCTGCATCATCCGAACATCACACGTAAGTAAAGTTATCCCCAGATTCGAGTTTTTCGCGCCCTGATTCGCCGAGGAACCTGTTCCGAGTGATCCAAACTGTGTTCCAAGTAGAACTCGACGAGCTCTGTCCAGTGGTCCCAAGCAAGACCTGGTTACTTGCATCATAGAGTCTACAATCCTGGAAAAGCCCCGAACCCTTTGCCAGACTCTTGCCAACACAAATGGGCGGCGCCCCAATTCGCTTGGGAACCTGTTCCAAGTGATCTGAACAGTGTTCCAAGTAGAACTCGACGAGCTCTTCCTTCAAGCGGAATGAAATTTCGATCACTATGTGCTTGATTTACGCTCACTCTCAATCTTTTGTATATAATCTCAAAATTGCCCCTTATTTATGTTCCTTATTCTCAACATTTATAAAACAATAGTTGGAAGTTATCACAACTTTCAAAAACTTTTCCATTTGCTTTGAGACAGCATTCAAATGAGTAATATAATAGAATTCGAAATTTCCCTGATAATGAATGAATTAAGCTCCATCCGAAACGGTTGTTACCAGTAGCTTCGAAGTATATTATCTTAAGATACTTGATGATTGACACCCTAAGCAACTGTCGAAACCGGTCGTGTGATGTTTCGGATCTATTCACACAAAATTCTTATATGGTAGCTCTACTCACCATT